TTTTTCCTTTTTTTTTGTAAATTACATTGAATTTGAACCTAGAGGTAGTTATTTTGAATCTCCCTTTCCTATTAACAGGTACATGAAGGGAGGTGGAGGAGTGAAGAGTGTATTTGAAGGGAGAGGAGAAAATGAATCTTTGGGTCGTGCAGAAAATAGTGTTTTTATTGTTAGACAAAACAAATAACTTTTCAATAACTTTTAAAACTAAATTTACCATGATTTCAAATGGTTCGTTGATAGTTCAAAAAAAGATAAGGAAGACACGATGAAGAGAGAGTTTTGGAACTCCACAAAATACCATATTAACAAACCGACTTCTAAAACATGTAAACAACGAAAAAGTGATAGGCTCTACTGAGATGATGGCTAGATAATTATCTAGTAGAGGTGCTGCCTATCCGATTTCCAACCGAATCACCGGAATACCAGAAATGAATTCCCTAATTCTTCAAAACTCAAAACACTACGAACTAATTTGAAGTCCGACAGTATGTCAAAGAGTAACATGGCCAACAGGCAAAAGTTGTGTAGTGAGACATATAAAGAGGATATTTAAGACTAAGAGAGGAAAGAAAACGAGTACCAGTAGATTGGTATTGCGCCACGCCCATAATAATCTACTCCAGGAGCACACGGATAATCAAATTTGTAGAAATCGTCACAGTAGCTTTGGCTAGGACTCATTTCCTTGTTGTAACATAGACCCCATGCCAGTGGCCCGCCTGTGGCCACCCCATAACCACCTGCATGATTTGAAGTACCGATTAATTATCGGAAGTTCAACTTTCATTGCAAAACCCAAATTTCCATCTATAGCCAAACTCTAGTGAAAAAATTCCATTGCAGAAACTGAGATGCATGTAAAACTTTTTTCAAATATATGATGTGCAGCTTTTCGGCAACAATTAGAAGTCTGTTGAAATCACTTACCGCATTACAAGAAAACTTGTATAACAATATAAATAAACCTGTAATATTGGTTTCGGTGGATTCTTTTTAAGAGAGAGAGATCTTTTCTTTCAATGAAATAATGAATCTAACTGTTCTTATGAGTTTTTATTTAAGAATTCTCAACTGAATTTCGAATTTCAGGAAGTGAAACACCACTATATTCATCCCACTTCAGTCACTGTTACTTCAAACGCCCACCATAAGCTTTGCACAAAGTTTCGACTCAACATTCTGGTTCCAACTATCCACTAACCGAAATGACAAGGGTTCCAATGGTAATTAATCAACTCATCCGAAGAAATTTAGACAACCAATGCATGTCACAAACGAACATTGATGGAGACATGGCACGACCATTCTTACAAATTACTCTGATTTCATCATGCTCATCCAGTCGATATCAATTGGGTAAAAATACAAATCCATTGCACCTAAGTGGTTTGCACAAAGTAACAGAAACAAGCAACAGTACAATCACAGTTCGCGACTACCCAATAAACAAAATATATGCGACTGCCAAAAAAAAAGAGAACCAGATGAGTCAAATATTTACTCTTTCAAATTATAATGTGTCTGATCCAAGTCACTGGATGCATGGGAAAAGGGTAAACGATAATAAAGTGGTTCTGCACCAAACATTTACGATTTTGTTAGAACATCGTTTCAGTTTTTTTCCTAAATTGCGATTGCTTCAGCATTTAGATACAAAAATCATGTCTTTTATGTTCAACAAGGGATATCATCCCAAAATGTGATTCCATACGCGAATTCGAAAAAAATACACATCATTTAATCTCATTTGTCCTCACTAAGCATACCTACATTCCTCTAGTTAAAAACAAATCATTATTACATTCTTCAGAAATTTCAAGATTCACCTACTCCCACATAACTAACTACTCACCCACGAAAGCCAATCATCATTCACTAAGAAAATTAGATCAACTTCAGCACACACATATCTCTCATTGTATCTTCATTTATATCCCTTTTCAAACATGAAAAAATCTTAATCGCATCAATTAAGCAAATGAATCCAAGTGCACCCAAAATTATTCTTCTCTCTTGCGAAAACGGGCCATCGGATTACCTCACCGATCGAATTTTGGATTTGGAAATTCCCACGAATCCTCCAACCAAATGTACATTTTCCCCTAATTTGTGCTTGATTCAGTTACTGTAATGATTTCTCAGCACAACACTTCCACTCCGCAATTGAAAAATTCTCTAAAACAGTTAAAAACAATTTTTTTCTCGCTAGCTATGGGAGCGGACATTGACTACAACCCATTCGACAAAATGAAAGAAAAAACAAGAGATTTTTAAGATAAAATGAGAGAGAAAAACTCACAAGAAGTCTGACTGCCGACATGGGCAAGGAAAGCGGCGACTTCCTTCATCTGCATGAGTTTGCCGCCGGTGGTCCCGAACCCAAGCGGCTGATAAATGGCGGAGGCGGTGATGAAAGATCTGTAGTCCCAAAACCCGACGGCCTTGGCCACCGGCGAATTCCTCTTGGAGAAGAGATTCTCAAACTGATACGTCTGGAAGAAATCCGAAATCGTCTCGTTGCAACAGTGCTCCGACCAATCGAGACACTCCCATCCTTGCGAACAGACCTTTTTCCCGTTCATCTTTTTCACGATTATTTCTTTGTCGGACG